TTTTTTTTTAAAAAAAAACTTAATATGTAACTTAACTTTTATACATAACACAAATTTAACTATGACTAACACTACCAATTACAAATTAATAACTAATAACAATAATGCTAAAATTAGTGTATTAGTTAGAAATTTAGAATTCACAAAAACTATTTACCTTCCTTGGCAAACTACACAAGTCTAAAAAAGAAGACATGGGTGAGCAACAATATAGGAAGGACTAGAAGAATTAGTTGTCATTAAAAATTACAAAGATTTGGAAATTTTGACAAAACAGAAAGTGCTTAATAAAAGAAATAACATCTATAAACATTAAAAGCATTTACTTGATACAACAAATTCTGAAAAATAAGGAAAACTCTTAAATAGAGAATCTAAATGGGAAGGGAGTCATGAATGAGTGATTTTGACAAAAAAAATATTGGGTGGTCGTTAAGGTTTGAAGAAACAAATAAAGAAATGTTGATGTCTTCAATGTTATGACTATGCACGATCTCATCACAAATTTACCAAAAAATAAATAAAACAAAATAAAATGAAAAATATCGTAATTTTCTTACATGTTCACTTGTTATCAGAATGGTTGATGGATTTTTGCATTTATACTGCGAAGTGAATAAGTTTAGGTGATAAATTACTCACATTACCTTTTCATCATAAAATCGCAAAAATTAAAGTTAAATTACAAAAATTTTATAATGAATTTTTTTTTTGCCACAAATACCTAATTGCAAAATTATTATTTTTAATAATGATACAAAGAATAATAAGATCATACCAGATTTAAAGGGCCCACTAGCATTGAGATGATCTATCAAGTATTTATGGTTGGTTACATTAGAGTCAAACAAATCAAACATATTAGCAATATGTATTGGGCTGATTTGTTAATATGAGACTGTAAATAAATTCTATTAATATTAAATGAGTTTACCATACACTTTGTTATGACCTGATTCGGACTTAGAATTAACCAAGGCGAGTACAGACGGTCGGACGGTGTGAGTTAAATTTTCTATATTAACATTCAATTTAATAGATGAAAGAGCTATTACAAAATAAATTAAAGGTGCATAATTTAAAATTACCTTGTTATTGGTTGTCCACATATTCTATAAATGTTTTTTCTTTTATCACTCATCTTTTAATCAATTAAATTAACCAAAAAAGTTTGTTTAAAATAACTGTGAGCTAAACGAGTCAGTGAATACTTATACTCCCAAACTAAAACAATACAAGGAAAAAGAAATATTATGCATGCTAGTTAAACTTTTTAATAAACCGATATAAATATTTGATGTTATTCAAAGAGTTTTACTATATCAATAACATATCAATATCATATTATATTTATATAACAATTACAGAAGCCACCGTTTAAAAATTGTGTCAATTAAATCACATCAATATAAATATATATATA